TGGTACTTAAGAGATTTCAAAATGCTTTCCTATCTATTATGTTGGAAATTGAAGATAAAATGAAGAGGGAAAATAATTAAGGTGTTCACATCTGTTTTAGGTACACTCTATTTAGTGGCTCACTGAGTTATGAAGAACTAACTCTCCCAGCCATGACATCTGGAAAAGAGTAGTTTTGTGTCTCTATAGGCATGTTTGCCTGGACAGGATTGGGAAGTATTGACCTTTGTGGTAAGTGGATCTTGCCACAAAAACCCGTTGGTTGGATAAAGATTTCATGTTGAATGTGATTGAATGCTAATTGGAGTTGTTAAGAAAGCTAAAGCTATAGGGAAATGAGGTATATTCAGGCTATGAGTATTTTTAATACTTTGTGCAGGCATGAAGTTTCAGTAAGTGAAAGAAGCAGCTTGCAAAATTATATGACCCATTCTTAGTTTAAAAAACATTTTCACTCTCAGTAAAGTGTTGTGAAAGGCACTAAAATATAATGGTGATTTTCTTTGGGTAGTGGTGGAATTATACCTTTAAATTTTTTGCAAAGAAAACACATGTTTTTAATGAGAAAAAGAAAATAAAGGTATAAAAATTGCCTTTGTGTACCTGGGGAGACTGACATGCAGAACCAACAGCTGGTGGAGGTGGAGGTGGAATTTGAAAGGGAAGATTGGAATGTTGGAGGCTGGAAAGTGCTGGAAAGAACCCAGGACAATCTGCTATTAAGGGGGCTCTTAAAGCACTGAAATAAGAAGAGGAGATGCCCTGTTGAAGATTTCCATAGGCGAGACCGAGGGCACTACAGTCTAAGTTTTCTAACTTGAAGGCTAACTTCAGGCAAAATAGACAAAGTCCTGGGACATGAGAAGAACCGGGCTTGTCATTTTTTTCTCCCTCCCAGGGCCTGAAATGTGAGTGGGCTCACTTTGGAAAGTGGAAGTGAGGGGAAATTATCCAGAACAGTTAATGGCTCCAGGGCTCGCAACTGAAGGACACATAAACTGGAAAGGAGGGATAAGAGAAGTGAACAACTGGTGCCTGAAGCAAAATATTTAGCACTTTAAACTTGTGCCAAACTAATTGCATAAAACAAAATTATGTACCTGTAACTTCTGTATTCTGCATATAGTTTATGCCCTGAGATTTCTTCACAGTAGGGTAGAAATCGGCTGTGTTGTTTTTAAAAATGATTGCCTGAGCAATAGTTATTTTGGAGTGGAGGTTGATACAGAATTAAAGCAACATTTCTGAATCTCAAGGGCATACTCTCCAGAGAAGTTACCCTCCCCCTATCTTTAAGCCTTAGGAGTGGAAAGCTATTGTTTAAGTAGTTTACATTTACTAAGCTGTTAGTGTTTGGAAGTCTAAGTGCTTTGAATGGATGGTCTCACTTATTCTTTAAAGGAGACCTATAAGCTAGATATAGCTACTATGCCCAACTTTACAAATCAGGGAATGGAGATTTAGCTGGCAGAGGGCAGTGTTAGGATTATCTGGCTCTGAAGCCCAAATTTATTTTGTAACACTACCCTACACTTGTTAGTTTTGAAAATATCCTAAAGCTAGTAACAATAGCTATAAAATACTGAAATTAATAACACCTAGGGTGAGATTATAAATAGTTACAGTTACACTGTGTCAGTAGAAATGTAAATTCGTTTGATCTTTCTGAATGACAATTTGGCAATATTTAGCAGAAGAATTTGAAATGCTAGTACCAGTTGCTTCAATTATTGAGGTACTAAAATTCACGTTAACTATTAGCTGGCAAAGATGTAGGTTGTGTGAAAGATATTCAGTATAAAGAACTAGAAGCAACCAGTGCCATTAAGTAGGGAACTGGTTAACTAAATCATGGTTCAGCCATTAAAAAAAATGAGGCAGATGTATGTGTTCTGAAATAGAAAAATCACCAAGATATAGTAGTAAGTAAGAAAAAGCAAGGTGCAGAATGGTATGTATAGTGAAATTACTTTAGTAATTTTAAGAAGTACATATAGAAGACGGGTTGATAGATATACTAGCACATAAATAACGTTTTTCCCTGAAAGAAAATATTGTACAAGAAGTGTTTTTAACAATAAATACCTTTGGAAAGAGTAATTGAGTTATGTCATTATATTTGTGTCATTTGAAAGTATTTGGGCTTTTTAAGTTTTGTTTTCCTCTCCATATCAGCTGATTAAAAAAATAACACTGTGTTAACACTTTTAAAAACCAAGTAGCTAGCACTTATTAAAGGCTCATAATGAACCAGGGGCTGTGCTAAGCATTTTACATATAATACTTATATTCTCACATTAAATGATTAGTTCCATCTTACAGGTGAGGAATTAGAGGCTCAGATAGGTGAAATCACTTGCTTGAAGTCCCACAGCTAGGAGGTGGGGGAGCTGCTGTTTAAATGCCTGATGCCTGTCTGCTTTTGTTCAGAGCCCTTGGCTTTCGACTGCCAGGCAGTGCTCTTCTAATTGGTCTTTATGCTTTTATTGCCTAATAAAAGTAAACTGGCAAACAACTGGAGTCTAATGAGATAATGTATGTGGAAATACTTTCCTAAGTATAGAGATGTTTGGTGAAGGAGAGAGGTGGGGGTAGGGAGTTTACTTAAATTGGGTAGACCTGTGCATGGACCCTGAGACAGGATATTCTTTTTTGAACAACTTTCTTTTGTTTCTCCTTTAAAAATATTATAAAATTATGTTTGTTGCCTTTTCTCAATAATACCTGATTATTGTGTAAAAATTAAAATAATATGAAAAATCCTTTTATAATACTCCTTACTGATAATTAATGACTATTTCAGATTTTAATGGCTATATATATATTGCATACACTCACACACATTTTACATAAATGGGAGCAACTATATATTTGTTCTGTATCTTGCTTTTTTCCAACCTTACAATATATATCTTGGCCATTTTTTTCTATCTGCACTTCCGAACCTACTTTTCTTTTTTAATAGCTGCATAGTATCCCATTTGTGTGAATGTACACACACATTATTATTTTTGATCACCTATTGGAAAACATTTAAATCACTTCCAACTGTTTGCTTTCCTAAATGCTGCTGTACTGAATCTCCTTCCTAAGAGAGTTTAGGATGATCTTCAGACTGAGAGTGACATTGATCAACCCTGTAGTTGCCGATAGTGACCCAATAAGACTCTGTACTGAGGGGAGGAGTATGTTTTACTTTGTGGAGAAACAAAGAACTCTCTCCAAAACACTTTGGCCAACAAATTCAGAGCTATTAGAGTTGCCAACAGGTGGAACGTCCTGAGAAAGAAGAGCTCTCTTGTTTTAGCAGTTTAGTAACAGTGAAGAAACTTGCCACGACTGCTTAACACTGATTGCTGGATCAGAAGAGGAATTCCTAGACTAAGTTTAAAGCAGGGCTGGTGCAGCACGGTGGATTCCACCAGTCTGTAAACAGTTAGACAAGGGGATGGGCACCAGAGCTCCAAATCAGGCAACAGCACGTGTGGAAGAAGCAGTGACCTATGGGGAAACTCTCAACTCATAGACCAAACTTCTTCCAGCAGAGGGCAGTGCCTCATACATCAGGCTAGACTAGGGCCAGCTGGAGCCAGAGCTGGAGACTTCGCAGGACTGATTGCCCTAGCCCTAGGCCGAGGAGAAATTCAACTAAACTGTCTTTGGAATACAGTAAGTGGCATTGCGACTCAGAGAGAGTCATAGTAGGACTTCTTCACATTACTGTGATTTGCCTGTTTTCTAATATCTAACAATTGGGATGGTAATATTTTTATACATTCTGACTATTAGGGCTTACAGGTAAGGGATTTGGAGCCAATTTAACTTGACTGGCCAACAAGTCTCACAGGTTTCTGGGTGCACGCTTGACTCAAAAAGGAAAGTGACATGCCTAAAATATAACCTAGCTTTCTGGGCCTGTGGATGTGACACAAAGTTTACAAAGAGAAAGTTGGCAGAAAGATATGTAAGAAGTACCAATTTTATCTAAAAATAGAAACTTAGTGTTTTAACACCGGAGTCCTTCCCTTTTGAATTGCAATGACTATGAAGGATGGCTATTAGAGCAAACTTTAACGAGGAAAAGCCAGCCATGCAAATAACTGTGCATGCAGATAATGAAAGACTAAAAGAAGTTAGTTTGCAGGAATACACAATTTCCAATCAACTCTTCCCTGGATATTGGTTACCTTTCCTGCTGTGCAGCTGCTGGAATCAAACAGAGGCAAAGCTGAGTTAGAGTACCTGCAAAGTCTATTTATAATCCTTTTGTTTTCCGAGCCTGGTGACAAGAAAGAGAAGGAGTGACTTTGGCATTTGCTGGTAGAGTCAAGGTAGATTTGCCAGATGATAAAAGCACTGTGTATTTAATTATTTCTCAGAGACAGCTAAGTAAAACACACCACATACAAAATCAGAGCAATAGTGGAGTCTAAGGGTAGTCTGCACGCGTTTCTTAGGGAAAAAAAAAAATCAAGTGGAAGAAGTACCAGCAAAGATAATCAACTTTCTTGGCTGTTTTATTTTCCCTGCCACTTCTGGTCCTACGATGGATGGTGTTCTCCCAGTCGTTAGATTATTACTGGCTCTCAAGCACTTGCCAACGAGCTGATCGAGTCCTCAGGCGGGGCTAAGGATGGCTGAGATGCGGATGGGCTTCAAGGACTTTGGGGTGGGACTGTCAGAAGCAGCAGCTGCAGGCCGGCCGGGAAGGGAAGGATGGTGCCGTTTCTCGGACCGGCCTTTTGCCGTGTTCGTAGCACGGACCAGAAACAGTCCCCAGCCGACTCTCTCAGTAGGGCGCGGCCGCAGAGCCATCCGCCTCGCTCCGAAGAGGTGGGACTTTCCCCACCGGAAGTGATCCAGTACAGTGTCGGGGAACTGGGGCACTTCAGCCAGTGTGTCGGGGAAACCCTTCCGGGTGTGTTCTGGGGGGTGGGGTGGGGTGGGGTGGGGTGGGGGGGTGAAAAAAAAGAGGTGGGTTAGCCTGGCGTCTTTGCGGCCGCCGCCGCCAGGACAGCACCCGCCCCTCTCCCCTCCGCGAATAGTAGCGCTGGGGCGGCGGTGAGAGCTAGAAGCCGGCCCGTGACCATGGCCTTGGCTTGACAGAACCTCCCGGACAGCCGGGAGGGTGAGGACAGCAGGGTAAGCGGCGGCGGCAGCATTGGCAGACACAGCCGGATCTCGATGATGGGGGGAACCGGGGGAGGCGGCAGCGGGGGTTGCTGGTTTGGGGCGGTCGGGGGTCAGGAGGGTAACGTGCGCCCTTCTCTCATCACAGGCCGGACGACGCCCGCGGGAGCCGCGGCCGAGAGACCCGCCCGGGGGCAGAGACGGGCGCGGAGACCAGAGGCCTGGGCCGGCCCAGCAGCAAGAGCAGGAAGCGGGGTCCCGGAGCCCCTTTGTGTGAAGGGCGGAGGAGGAGTGGGGGCAGCCTCTGGCTGGGGGCTCCTCCGTCACCAGCCTGCCCGCTAGGGCCCCCAGATCTGCGGCCTCTAGCTCTTGCCTCAGAGGGGCGCGTTTCATCTCCCCACCCTCACTGGCCTTCTCCAAGCTCGCCCTCCTCCCCACGCCCCCTGCCTGGGCTTCAGTTCCTATAGGAGGGGCATTACCATCCCATCCCCACCCACCCCGACTCTTTGCTCTCTCCCCTCCCCCGCCTTTAACTTCCTCTTCTTCCCCTGTTGGGCCCTCTGGTTCTCTGCACTCTCCTCCCCAGTTCCGCAGATTTCCGCCCACTTTCTTCCTCGCCAGGCAGCGGCGGGGCTTTATTTTTCTTCCCTCGTGTTGGCGTTGGTGAAGGTGAGATTCATGAGGGAATACAAGGTAGTGGTGTTAGGGAGCGGAGGGGTTGGCAAATCTGCCCTGACTGTGCAGTTTGTCACTGGGACTTTCATTGAGAAATATGACCCCACCATTGAAGATTTCTACCGCAAAGAGATCGAAGTGGACTCTTCTCCGTCGGTGCTAGAAATTCTGGACACCGCAGGAACTGAGCAGTTTGCCTCCATGAGAGATCTCTACATCAAAAACGGCCAAGGTTTCATCCTGGTTTATAGTCTCGTTAATCAACAGTCTTTTCAGGTAACCAAACCAAGTCTGGTAATTTGTTAAAAGGGGGTGTGGTAATTCTACTTTTACTTCTGGTTTGCTTGAACCGTGCGTAAATGACTATGTTTTGCTTTTGAAAGTTAGACATGGCGCATTTTTGAGGTTACCCCTGGCATGAAAAAAGTGTTGGGTTGTTTCTATAGAGAGTAGTAAAATAACAACCGGCAACAAATATTTTGAAGTTATTTTTAAGTCAAAGAAAAATGAAAAAGAACTAGATCAGTACGTGTATATTTAGCTTGGAATATAACCTTCTGAAGTTGTTTGTTCATTTCAACAAGCATTGATTAATATACTCAACAAATCAGCATTAAAAAATAATCTTGGGTACATAGAGCACTTTGGAAGGAAAACTATTTGGAGCCGAATATCTGTTGCACATATAACTCTTCTGATGGCTGCTTCTCCCACCCCATTCTCTGCGCTCACCCAAGTTTCTCGACCAGCTTCATAAATCTTTAGTGCTGCAAGATGAACTCAAGACGTGCCTTCTAGGCATTTTACTTACTTGGGGCATGTGAAGGAAACGTTATTAATTGAAAAGACTAGTGCTTGGAATTAATAACCAACAAAAATGTAGAATGAGCGTCCCTTTCTGCAGTTATCCAAATTGTTTCTGATAACACTGACTATATTTATACAAAATACATGGATCTGGGAACACTGAACAAGTGCAGATTTCTAACCTTGGCTGGGTGGCCAAACTGGAGATGGTCCAGTTTCCTCGGAAAATCTGTCCTGTCCTCCACTGGGTTTAACATTATTTTACGAGATGCAATAAATGTTGCTATTTATTCCCTGAAAATAACCTCATATTGACCCATTATATTGACTTCCATTGATTTAGGAAATGGATATTTTTCTGCATTTAAAGATATTCTCTTAATGTTTCTTTCTTAGGAGACGTTAAGTGCTTTAGTCAAGCCAATGTGCTAATTGCAGTTTTCTTAGTATTTTAAATTAAAGTACTATAGTGAACTTTTTCAGTGGTGGGATGTAGCACTTCAGAATTTTTTTCTTTTAAAGATAGTAAGTTCTGGGTAAATGATTCAAAGTTATATTGACCAAATTGAAGTTCATCTTATGTAGGCTTAAATTTCTAAGCAATAGTATCAAACACATTTTCCCCCCAAAAGTACTAAAGGTGTTTTTTGGCAGGCATTTTCTTTCTGGGATGTGGGGGAGGTGGGCAGGGCAGGGCAAGGGAGAATAAGGGGGGAAAATGGGGACAACTGTAATTGAACAACAATAAAAAAATTTAAAAAAGATCCTTTGGAGACTTGTTATTCTATTAGCTGACTCTGTAGAGGCTGGAAGTCTTCTGAAGGGTTTTTCATAAGATTTCAATTATATCTACTTCTGTTATAGACATAAATAGAGAGTGAAAAATCTGCCATTATTTCAGCAGAGACTTAAAACTCTTTTAAAGCCAAGTGCCATAAATTTGATTTCCAGTTGAACTTGGGTTTTTATGAAGACACAAGGAAATGAAGCTTAGCCTAGAACATTGATTTGATATATGACCAAATAAAAAAATTCTTGCAAATATAAAATAACTGTTTTTGTAAATTTTCAGTCCCCTCTTTTTCCTACATCCAACATGTGAACATGCTGTGTACTGTAACTATTTAAATTAACACATGCTTATATTTAAGTTTAACCTTTTATGAAAAATCAAAAAAATTGTAATGATAGTATAAAATGTATAATACTATCTTTAATTAATATACCCCCTAAAATTGATGATACTAGGGAATATCCAACGCTTTTATATTTTATAATGAATTGCAATTACAAAGTAATACACTTGGGAGAAAATTCAAGTTGTAAACCCAAATGTAGGCAAAGAAAAGTATGACTTTTGCTCAGACTCCTGCCTGCCTATGGATCCCAGGAGCTGCTCATTGTTACAATAGTTTTTATTATATTTAAGTATGTTTTAAGGTGTTTGATTTTAATGAGATAAAAGTATACTGTTAAATGTAAAATGAAAAATATAAATGTATAAATCTGCTTTTAACTTTGGTTTTCTAGGCATGGCACAGTATTTTTGTTTTCACCTTAAACACTTTCTCTCAAGTGCTCTTGCTAAATGACTAGAAATGCATAGATGCTTCAATCCTGTGCTAGGATAATCAGGTGTTAGGAGGAGGGATGACAAGCTGGCAGATTTAAAGAGATGACCAAACACCCTTACGTGTGAATGGATTCATCGTATTTTGGAACTTTTAAAATCAGTATAGACTGTGGGAAAGAAGTGACTAAATTAATCAGAAGGTTAGTGTGCAACCTACATTTTATATTCTTGACAGAGACCCACCAGGTAGGGTTTGTGGAAATTATCTAGTTTTTACTTCACTGGAGAAAAGGCCTTCTCTGTTTGGGTGCGATTGATGGATTGATTGATTGATTTTCCTCACCTGAGGACATTTTTCATTGCTTTTGGAAGGGAGCAAGAGAAAGAGCGGGGGAGGGAGAGAGGAGAGGGGAGAAAGAAGATGGGTGGAGAGAGAGAAACATCAGTTGGTTGCCCTCTCATATGCGCTGGGTTTTTTTGTTTGTTTTTGTTTTTTTTTACTCAGCTTTCTTACTCACTGAGGGTTGAGTTCTTGTAAGATTCTCATATTTCTGTTATGGTTATGAAAAGAGCATAATTTTTTCTTTCTCTTTGTGATTGTTTGAATAGGATATCAAGCCAATGAGAGATCAGATTGTCAGAGTGAAGAGATATGAAAAAGTCCCACTAATCCTAGTAGGAAATAAAGTGGATCTGGAACCAGAAAGAGAGGTTATGTCTTCAGAAGGCAGAGCACTGGCTCAAGAATGGGGCTGCCCTTTCATGGAGACATCGGCAAAAAGTAAATCAATGGTGGATGAACTTTTTGCTGAGATCGTCAGGCAAATGAACTATTCATCCCTGCCCGAGAAGCAAGATCAGTGTTGTACAACTTGTGTTGTCCAGTAAAAAAGATAACCTCAATCATGGCCATACCGAGCAGGTTAGTCGTTGATGGGTTCTTATGAGCCAGAGAGTGTTTTGTTTTTGATCAAGTATAACAAAGCTCGTTAATATTAATACACATTGCACTCCCTTAAATTTCTGTATTTTTAAAATAACATTTCCCTTTGCACAAAATAGTCTACATTCAATGCAGAAAATTAAGGGAAACAAAGGCAAGAAATTGCTGTACTCCTACCACAAGATTTATTTTTTAAAGTGAGTCACTATTCTCTCTCTGCTTGATTGATAACATTCCTTTGGGGAGGGGTGAGTTAAAGGTTAATACACCTTTTCAGTGTTTTGGTGATTTAACTTTCAGAATGCACAAGAGATTATCCAGTAATAATTTCAGAAGATGATTAGTTTTGTTTTCTACATTTTTCTGTCCTGGGCTAGAGAGGTGTTATAATTGAAAGAATCAATTTACTAATCACGAAAATGCTTTTTTTTTTTAACAGAATGATTATTTAATCAAGTTCATCTGTACCTGGCACTTGAGGGACTTAAATGATCTCTGATGATAACAAATAATAGTGCTACAATGTACCTTGACTATACTATGAATATATGGTCCAAATGAGAGTCTGGCAAAATCATCCCTGATGTGTTAGAAGGAGCAGTCCCAAGCCCAGGAAACTTTTTTTATTCATTTTAATAAATAACGAAGTTAATAAAAATAATAACAAAACCTTTGAACTTTTCATTGAATCAAATGATAATAAAAGTTTTTAAGTGAATGAGTTTTTTAAAAAGTTGTTATATAAAACTTATTGAGCCTTTAAAATGAGATTATTTTATTCGTATCATGACTTTTAAATCTAGATTGTAATTGGGCAGATAATCTCATTTAGACATTTAGATAGTTAGCTAAAATAACCAATAGACTGGATGACTGAGAAACCACAGCAAATGCCAAACTTGCCTGACAACATCAGGAATGGAAATGAGCCAAGACTGACCTCAAGTCTAGGAGGCAATGTTGCAAATGGCAACAGGCATTTCAAATCTCAGTGGTGATTCCTATTCAAAGGTCTGGCTTCATATGTGCTCCCTGGACAAAAGGTTAACCGTCCCTAATTTATCTTTTCAGACAAGATTTTCTGTCAGGTAGTGACATCTTTGAAAAGGAAGGATGACCACAGTGCTTCATTCAAAATGCTTTCACTCATCAGCTTTCCAGCAAAGCAGAATATGATGGAAAAATCATTTACTTCATTATAACTGGCTACATGTGTTACCTTGTAAAGTCACTGTTCAGACTGTATCCCAGCATATGTTTTGATGACAGTGTCATACTTAGTATAGTCTTTTGAAGCAGGAGCAGGTATATGTAGGTGATAGAGTCTTGTGTTGCTATTTCCATAATCTCTCTTAAACTGTAAGCAAGCTTTCAAGTTTGAACAAACTGCATAACGATTATGTCTTCACCATTATGCTCTATTTCTCTGACACTTTTAATTTGGAAAATGATAAGTTTACACATTTTTGTTTTATCATTTTTATGAAAAATTAACCAGTTCCCACAAACATTCCCAATTTTCTTCCCATCATTATTGTAGACAGTTATATAAAGTAAACAGAATAAAATTGCTTTCATACATGTAGAGGGCCAGATGTCTCAGTGAAATCAGCAAATGGGCAATTTCTAAAGCTATTTTTAAGTCATTCTGGATTATTTCTGAGTTTATTTTGTAACTTTTGTGACAATTACTTTTAGTCTATTTGGTTACCTATAGGAATGATTAAATATTTTTAAATATATCAAGCCAATTCTGTTTACATTTTTTGTTAACATACTAAAAATCAGAAAATATTAATACCAATAACTGCTCATTTTTTATAATAATGGGTCAAGTTGCCTGTGTAGTCTTTGGTTTTCATTTTTTAAGCAGAATATGCTATTGAGAGTGCGACCCTTGAAATAAAATATCTAATCAGCTGAATTTCTGAAAATATTTAATGGAATTCCCTGACCAAGATTGACCAAGACCTTTTAGAACAAAGTGCATTATATGCAGTTTTCCTTTCCTTTTCCTTTTTCCCCTTTCCCCTTTCCCCCTTTCCCCTTTCCTTCAAATAAGACTGAACTGGTATGTATGGAAATCTGTAACCTGAGGTCCTGAAAGTTTGTGGTTATGCTTACTTGCTCACTATTTAAAAACATAGGTTATGGATTCTGAATTTTGTAGCTTAAATCATGAAGCTCTGAAGTCTCTCAGTTGTAGATCTAGATTGAAGATCAAACTTTGACAAGTAAAGTTGATTTGAAAAATGCTTATCTTTAATATTTAGAAGACTACTTTGTCAAAGTTAGAAATAATAAGACACCAATAAGTCAGAAAGACTGTGATTGTTGTAAGCTGATTGCTCTTAATTGGAAGAAAATTTATTAATGCACTAATAATTGTTTCTGATAATTCCTCACATTTATATCTTACCACCTTTCAATTTGGGTCACCAGCCTTTGCCCAATGCCTGCTTGCATGGCTCCCAGGATTGTTTCTTCACCTTTCAGCCTCTCACTGGCAATAATCTTAGTGCGAGTTTGAATTCAAGGCCAGATCCTTTATGTACTGCTTTCATGGCTAGTTTCCTTACTGACCTGAGTAGCCTGCCATCAAGTGCATTGAAGGACTTCTTTTACTGTGCAGCAATAGTGTAATAGAAACTTGGGTCAGTGTTGCAGCCCTGTAGTTTGCTTTTAAACTACATCATAGCTCCTCGGTGATGGTGCGAATCATTGACAGATGGTTATTTTGGTATATATACTGTTGTTGAGAATGATGGGTGTTTTGTTAATCTTGTAACACTATAAAAGAAGTAAGTCACAGTGATGTGGGGATTCAGTCAAAGCAGAGACCACATCCAGACAAAGCTGGTTTCTCAACATTCTGGGCTTTCTGTTGGGGGCAGGGTGTAGGATGTTTAGCAGCATCCCTCCACTAGACGCCAGTAGCATTCCTTCCACCCCTGATTTGTGACACACAAGAATTTCTCCAGATATTGCTAAATGTCTCCTAGGGGGCAAAATTTCTTCTGGCTAAGAACCACTGAATCAGAGGAATTGGGGAGTAGTAGCATTTGGGTCAGGCATTAAAGAATAGGTAGGATATGAGTGAATGGGGACAGAGTAGAGGTGATTCCAAACAGGGAGTGCCAAAAAGGAGTAAAATAATACCCTAAAATATTCTGTTAATTCCCTCAAAGGAAGGTGGGAAATGAAGTAAAGTTATAACTTAAATGTGACAGTTTGGTAAATACTCTTGGCAAATACAGTTTTAAAAGATTACCTTTCAAAGATTCCTATATCCCTGTCCAATATTGACAAAAGTTTTAAAAGAAGAAAATGGGAATAAAAAAATGTGTTCTTCACTATGGTTTGAAGATCTTCTGCAAAATTTAATCCTATTTTCTCCATGTATTATGGAAAAGGTTCTCCCAATGAGAGTAAATGGTGCATAAGAGTACCAAACACCAGGAATCAAGCTGAAAGAACAAAAATCAATATTTATGTCAGCCTCAGTTCATCATATATGTCATCCCAAAGATAAAGGGAGATTCTTGATTCCAGACTAGCACTTCATTTCATGTGGCAGCAGAATGCCCAGGATGTTAACAAAGGCTCCTGAAAGGCTGAACCATTTATTAATGTCATTTTAGTCTAGCCGGCTTTACTATTTCTAAACACAGTGGAATTGATTAGTTTTTAAATTTTTTAAATAAATGTGTGTAATCAATTGTTTCTAATATTTTACATCTTTTAATTAGATATGATATGGTGGGGAGTTAGCAAGTGTGCGGAGAAAATCATGAACATTAGATCACATTGTATACTTTAAAATGCTGGCATTTTCCAACATCCAAGTTAAATGCTAATCATAATCAGTAAAACACTGGGGTAGAATTCTATTGCAGAAGTTACAGTTTAGATACATTTCCCCGAGCCCTATTTTACATATCACTTTGAGTGGGGAAAGTAGCTCATTTTAAATGCTCATTTGTCATCCAGTTCAAATGGAGCCTGTGGCATGGCAGCCCTGAATGGAGGGGGAAGCATGCTTTAGACGTAGTATGTACCATAAAGACCTGCAGTGGCCGTGGGGTAAGAGGAAAGAACACAGTTGCTTTGTCCTTTCTGCCCCACTGATTCTCTCAGAGCCTTACTGACTCCCACAAGATTCATGGTTTGTGACAATTCAGCGTGGATAGGTGCCTAGTTAGACCTGCTCTTGGTGTGGAGGTGTCTGGTGACATTTTGTATATCTGTTCCCTCCTTAATTGCTTCCTTTAACCTCAAGATTAGGATTTTATTGCAGAATAAAATGCATGTGAGCCATTCAGTTTTACTCTTACCTCTCTAGCTTGGAATGAACCATCAGTAGAATTAACATAAATTGCAGCATGGAGTTGGAAAATTGCCACCAAGGAAGTATTGTAGCCTACTACAGGAAAGATTCCCCTCATGGGATTACTTCTCAGTGGAATTCTAAAATCCAGAAGATAATATCATTAAGAAAAACTTACTCTACCAAAAGCATAATCCCAAATTCATTTGATTAGCTATAGTCCTAGGAACATTGGATACAGTAAAAGCAATTTAGAGTTAAGGGGAGCAGTACCCTACCTGGTCTATTTTGAAGTTAGCAGCTAGGATCAGATCATTATTTTTACACTATTGCTGCTTGTTTCACTGGATATGGTGATGATACTATTTGAGATCTCAGAACTGAACTCATATTAATTTAAACTTAAAAGAGATTTTAGGTCCAACCATAAGAAAAATTGCTTCTCCCTCCCTCCTGCCCTGGGTTCACCATAAACATTTGGGGTGCATGTTCTCTTTTAATACATTGATTCCACTTTCATTCAAGGATTCTATCCCATAGGTTCAGCTTTTGCTCTCTGTGTTTAATGGATGACAGGTGAACGTTTTTAATAACCTAGTCCTCCCACTCGATCCCCCCCATGCTTTATGATTTTATGCAAATTAGGATAGAGAAACAAACGATATTTAACAAAAACATAACTTCTATAAATGGAATTACAGCCTAGTATTTTGCCAATATAACTAGTATTTATCTTGGATACAAAAATGCAAAGTAAAAAATAGAGAATTTTAGTTAATTTTTTTTGTTAAATCTCCAGAATATCATGTCTAATACTGGGAAAAAATTAAAATCAATTATGATTGCACATTTATATTTGCTAAAAAGTGCTAACAAATGCAATAATATTTAGAAATGGTAAATGCAGCTAAGCTAAAAAGACATTTATAAACTGTTAAGCCTTTCATCCCAGGCATTCTACTGCCATGTGAAATGATGTGCTAGTCTTGAAGCAAGAATCTCCGTTTTTCTTCATGCTGATATAAGTAATGATCTTTGTTCTTTCATTCCTATGTTTGGTACTCTTGTGTGCCAATTTCCCCCACTGGGAAGATCCTATGTCATAATTTTCTGAACGAAAAGTTAAGACTATTGTTTGAGGTTTTTTTGTACTTTTCTATAACAAAATCTAATTAGAAAAAAAATGAAAACAGTTAGGCAAGGTTTTGAGCAGAGACTTCCAGAGTTAAGATTTGTTGGGTGTCTTGGTAGAAACTTGAGAGTGAGGACAAGAATTACTTGTGTTCTATCTCACAAAAAGCAAATTATATTTTTTCAATGTGTCTGTGATATCAAGGGAGTTAAAAAGTATGAGTTTGACCAGCTGCCTGTAAAGCTTCTAGAGTGTTTTCTTTTTTTAATGAACGAGAGTTGTTAGTACACTGAAAATTGTGCTGTCACAGTGAGAAGCAATAACATTTACATTTCACATTCTGTGAAATTCTAATCTGAGAGAGACTGTCCTTTTTGCTTAATGTATGCTTTTGCTTCAGGATTTATTACTCCAGAGAATATAATTTATTATTTTCTTGAAAGTAGATGGTATTAATACTTTGTTGTTTAATGGTATGTCTCCTATTAAGATTGTTGAGTGTAAACTGGAATTTATCTATGTCTCTTGATTTCACTGGAGTATTGTCATCCTGTGGAATATTGATGAACTAAATGTTGATCAGGTTTTTAGAGGGTGGAAAATAATGCATACATTACCTTTTATTTAATATAGATCATGCTTAATAAGCTGGTTTGTATTCTTCGTGCTTATTTTGGCTACAAATAAATAGTCACTACTTCCTCAATTTTATTTCAGAGAATGCCTGAACTATTAAATCATCACATATTACAAGTTTTCACTATTCAGACATATAATCACATTTTAAAATCCCAAGTCTTTATAACTTTTTAATTTGAAAAATGTGGATTAAAATTTATAGAAAACATGTTAATTCGAATTAATCGAGGAAAGTCTAGCGTGGATTTCTGAAAAGTCTTCCCAAAGAATTACAATTATAATGAAATACTGTTGTGTTCAAATGAATATGAAAATTCAAATGAAGGTAAAAAAATAAAATGGTCTTTAGATACTAAAGACATAATCCTAGTCTTCTAGAAATTTGTAATGTAGTTGAGAAATGAAAAACTACCTTATATTTGACATATAAAGTGCTTTCACATATTACCTTACGATGTTTAACAAATGTCTAGAGAAAGAATTATTATCCTTATTTTAATAATGAGGAAACTGGACTTACCCAGACTTAAATAACCAGTGCTCTAATTAACAGTGTCCTTTAATGCAAAAAAATTTTAATTTTAATTGGAAGAAAAATGTTTTTAGAATCATTTCTAAAAAGGCAAACGTTTGTCTGCTTTTCCTAATATGTTTAGGTAACAGAATTGCAATAATAGAGGACATTTTTAAAAAATTAATTATTTTTATGGTATAGCTTCTAATAAAAAGTTCTCTCCGGCTCTTTGAATACAAATAGAAGTGTAGCTGTCAAATGAAATTAAAATTATGCATTGTATACACACTGGTAGAGCATTAAATGACCTTAAATTGGTTTCACTTGGCATTCTCCATGGCTGTTATTCTACTCGTTTCTGGTTTTATTTAACAATTTTTATTTTTTACACTAAATACAAATGTAATTTCACTCTCTTAGAAGCTATTTAGTGACCCAGCACAGTTAAAGGACATTATGTCTGAATGATAGATTCCCCGCCCCCCCACCCCTATATTAATTAGAAGGGCAGAAGTCTAGCAACTGTAAGTGCAAAACTGGGACATCCCAATCACAGAAGTTCCTATGGTTGGGAAAATGTCCTCAAAAGGGCAGACCAGAGTGGGAAGTATGAACTATTGCTGTCACTTAACATCTATTCCAAGTCAGGGTACCTAGTAGGTACTCAATAGCTAAAACCTGATGGCATTACAGTTATGTATTTTAAGTTCTCAAAAAACACCACCTAAATTTTGGGAAAGTTTTGCATACTGTCAAGTTAACTCATAATTAATATGCATTTAATTCTGATACCATTTCTATTAATATATAAACATATCAAATTCAAAGTGGAAGTAACATTTGCCACTTTTATACTGTAGGATCTTTTAAACCAGGAAGAAAAAAAATTTATATTGTATGAAGTATAATACAAGCATATATAGTGCTATTTAAAAAAATAGCCCTGGCTGGTGTGGCTCAGTAGATTGAGTGCTGGCCTGCAGACTGTAGGGTCACTGGTTCAGTTCCCAGTCGGGGCATGTACCTGGGTTACAGGCCAGGTCCCCGGTTGGGGGTGAGCAGGAGGCAACCAATCAATGTCTCTCTCCCTCTCCTTCTCCCTTCTCTCTGAAAATAAATAAATAAATAAATAAATAAATAAATAAATAAAATCTTTAAAAACATTAATAAAAATAAACCAGAGTTGTTACATACATGCAGTATATTACATCAAATGCATCATTAGAGTGTTTCTGTTTCTAATGATTTTTTTGGACCACAGAAAATTACTCTTTCGGTTAAACTTATGGTGAACACAGAAAAATTCCACCTTAACATAGTTATTCTGGTGCCATGTCCATGTGTATGTAGATCTGTTGTCAGTGTTCTCATTTTAATCAGTAAGCTATGTTTCTGTATTTTTATGACATTTTTATATTAATTGCAGATAAAACTCAGAGGAAATTTGCACAGATGCTGCTTTGGAGAACTTTACAACCTGGGTTGCAGAACTGAGCCTTGGTAAACCTGTCTCTATTACAGCATGTTGCCATACATCTAATTAAGTGCATAAGGTCTTTGGCCTTCAAGATCCATTGACCTTAAATAAGAATGCTTAGCACGTTTACCATATGTTTAAAATCTATTCTTTATCAATCAGTCCTTTTATAGCTTTCTAAGTTCTTATTGATGGCTAATATGCAAGAATTAATTTTTAATATTTTAATTGATTTCTTTAATCAGTTTCTCAAGTTGTATTTATTAAATACTCAAACTCAGTATTACCTACTCAATGCCTTTTAAAAGAAAGTTATAATGGAGAAAAAATTGAGCCTTAAACAAATGGTTACTTCTGTATATTACCTCGCACCAGTGCTTCATTCTATTTGTAAAATCTTTCTCCTTTAAATTGTTGGTTAATACTTTGAGACTTTGTTTACGTGTGGCAGTGTTGTAAAAAGGAACTAAAAATCACATTTTTACCTATATGGATGAAATATCCCTTCAAGTGCAGTTTGTGATGTGTTTTAGTAGTTAACATGTTATGCAAGTTTCAAATGGTATTTGTAGAGCAGAGGTCCCCAACCTTTTTGGCACCGGGACTGATTTCGTGGAAGATGAACCTGGGGTGGAGGTTGGGTTCAGGGTGATTCAAACTCATTACATTCAAGCTCACCTCCTGCTGTGTGGCCGGGTTCCTAAACAGGCCCGGTGCCTATCTGCTTCCCGGAGGTTGGGGACCCCTGCTGTAGAGCATTTAGCTAAAGATTTAAGCATTTGATTCCATTAGGTTTTTCACAGGTGTTAATCTCATTTACAGCATCAAATTTCAGCAGTAACATTTTCCTTTCTGTTAAGTTCTAAATTTAGTTATGACCTACTTAGCAATGCCTTTGAAAAGGGATATTGTATCCATGGTAAATTAATTGTATACCTAAACAGAGATAGCTCAGCTTTGCCTGTCAGGCTTGTATTGACATCTAATGGACTTCTGCACATGTAAAATTGAATTCAAGTAAAGTCATATACACTTTCTAGTTCTTAATATTCGTCTTTCCAAATAATAGTTTAAAGCAATATTTGTTAACATTTTCTTGCACTATCACAATTGCTTTGTAGTTTATTTTAAAGAAGCATGTTCGTAGTAGAGACAAAAAAGAAATCTGTGTAACAGGAGGGACAATAGCGCCAAGTCTCTGGGCTTTTTTTTTTCCCCCCCAAATGTGCTTCTAATAGCCATTGCCTTCCATGTTGTTTACCTAATAGCACATTTTGTCTGAATACTTGAACATTTTATCAGTAACACAGGTATAGAAACAGAAAGGAAACTTATAAAGAGTAATCTTTAGGTTTGTTTTTCACATCATGACAAGCTCTTTTTCTAGCAATGATTTTAAAATTTTGTAAGTTTGACAGTATTTTGTTGTTGGGTTTTTATTTGATTTAATTGTGTGCATTTAATTTTGCAGAAGTTGGTAACTGCAGCTCACCTACTGCACCAAAGTTCCCAATTTTAGGAGCCCAGCTTTAGTCATTTGAACATGCTTCTAAATAAAACAAACAAACAAACAAAAAACCAAAATTATACTTTTGATCTATAATAATAGCTCAATAACTTTGTCAAGGAATGCTCTAATATATGCAGTGATGGTTTATGGAAGGGTGTGGCAATTTTAAATTTATATTGTGTGTGATGTTCAAATAAACTGATATCTACATTCATGTGATTTATTGGTCAGCATGACCATTAATTATTGCATAGAATTTGATTAAACTTTGATTTCCTTTTTTAAAATCGTGTTGCATTTGATTCCTGATCAAATTCCCTCAAAGTTAATGCTTGATCTTGAATTTTGGATTTTATGGTAAGATTGTAAGGATGGAGGCAATTGAAACATTATTTCTTATTTATTAACTGCTTAAAATGAATACTTAAGTTTGCACTTTAATACCAAACTTAAAACCAAACACTCAGTTCAAAGTAGTTTAAGTAATTGTGGTTCGTTTTTATTAGCTTTGTGAAATTCTAAAGGAATCAAATAATTCATGATGACTTCAATTTTCTGCACATGGATTTTTTTTTAATACAGTGTTTCTTTCCTATGAGTAGTTCTCATTCTCATTCCCCCCTCCCCCATCTCTTTCTCGTTGTCCCTCCTTCCCTATCTTTCTCTGTCATTAACCTCAGCAGCAAATTTAACTTGAATTAACTTAGGATCTTAGGAATCAGGGGAAAGTGATTTAAAGGTGGTTTTTCCAGCACATTTTAAGAAAAGGGACCAAAAGTTATTTTAGCTTCCTCAATAGATTGCATGTCAGGTTGCTTATTAGGAAAATAAATTAATATTAAATGCAATATATGTGTTGTCTTTACTATGGCATCTGTTTAGGAGTTGTTCAAATCACTGCAGTAGGGCTCTGCAAATAAAATCATGTAGCCTATTATCATGGATCTAATGTACTGTAACTTTATCAATGAGAGGTAAAAATCTCAAATAACAAGTACAAACATTGAACAATGACCTATAAAGATTTGTAAAAGTAAATTTTTCCAATAGATTTCATTCTTGTCATTTTGTAAGATGACCCTGCAGTCCACCTGTTTGTAACTTTTTTAATAAAATAGACAACTGTATTACTGAGGTTGATTTCTTGAATTATTTGGTGTATTGCTACTTCTTCTAGACTTGCTAGCTTATAAATCTCTTTCTCATAACTGAAAGTCATTATTTATTATCAAAATGATAATGGGTATTACAGTACATGTTTAAACAAGTTAAATGTTCACTTTTGTCCTTAGTCACCATTCTGGCATATGTGGGGAAAACTGAGATATATCTTAAAATGTATATTTAATCAATTGAATAACAAATAAATTAGAAATTATAAATAATCGGTAAAGAACAATAATATATATAGAGAAAGTGACCCTACAAATCTGTTGGCTGGAGATTGTCTAAGTAGAGGTCATTTCAGACAGTATTAAACAATATAATTAAAATTTTGAAATGCTGAATGAATTAAGAAAATTCAACATAATTATTTTGTTTTATCCAGTGAACAGTTTGATAACACACTGCATAACTCAATATTTTTAAATTATTGAACTGAATAGATTTTTTAACCTCAAGATTTTTTAAACCCTTAATCTTTAAGTTGGACAGTTCTGTCTGTTTAAATGTATATGTACTGAATTGATTTTTTAATAAAAAAGGGCCTAGATGTCTGTGTCACAATATATAGAAAATTATCTTATTGTTTATTACCATTGATTACTGGTTTTTAGTTGGGCACCAAACACCCAATGTGTACTAACTAGATGCTGTCCTCAAAGTCCGAAAACCCTTTTCTACAATGAAAGCAATCATAATTTCAGTGTTCTCTCCCTTGGTTTCCACCAAAGGAATTGTATCCCTTCATCCAACATTTTGGAAGTAAGGAAAGGCTCATTGATCAAAGTACCAACTGAGAAGATGAGAGATCTTGTGGTGCCTCAAATCCATCTTAAGTACAGTGTTCACATTTCTTTTATGTCAAGAGAAGAAGAAATGGGAGGGACAAGAGGTGATTGACAACCCCAAGCATCTAGGCACCAGCAGGGATCTGAGAAAGATTATGCGCAGGGTCCCTGCAAATCTTTGATAAATCATTATTTTTATACATACTTTTCTTATCTCCTCTGAAGAGGCACCTTCTGGAAGGGGCTGTTTTTGTAAAACTGAAGCAAGCAGAATCTCTCTAATGATTAGCATGTCTATATGAAAGACTAAGCAGAATCTGGAAGGCCATGAGAACAAAGCAGACTTGAACAAGAGGGAGTCATATAGGCTAGGCATTTCACTTCGTTATAAATACCCCCTTTTCATTGTTCATTCCTCAATATTGAGGGAAATAGAGCAACTGTGTCCAGGTTCAACTAAGAAAGAGGATTAGCTTAAAGATAGTGTCATATCTGTATGCCTATTGTGCTCTTACCAGGCTCTTACAATGTTACATGCCCACCTTGTTCTCAAGGATCCCTGAGTAAAGTCAGCATTTTTAACCAAGTGAATAGTAGAGAGAGGGGATGAAAGGATAGAGAAGGGTAAGAGCTAAGGGATAATACGCTGATGAGTCAAATCACTGTTGGACATCAATAGGGTACTTTCTCACAGCTAGATGATCTTTATGTCTTCCCCTTCTCTGCCCTCTTCATGTTTTTTATCCGTGAAGAAGATTAATCTAGTCTTCACACTCCTGCAGGATGCAGCAGCTTGGGTTCAAGATCCAAGGCAGTAAGACTTTTCACCGAGAAAGAAGACCATTTTTCAGATAGGCTCCTGCTTCCACATATATCTATATCATTTAAACCTTGCTACTATCTGACATTTGGACTTCATTTTCCACATTTTGTTGATGATGAAACCAAGGCACAGGAGAAAGTTTTGACTTCAGATCATAAAGGTAAGGTCAAATAATTAAAATGTTGTCAAAGGTTCTTTTGGACAAGTTATGATATAAATTCACTGGGTAGAGTAGAATGCGTGCTATTAAAATTATAAACCTCATGGAAACAAGAAGCAAGAAACTTGTAAGCGACTGTGATAGGGCATATGGCAACAAAATACTATGGGTCCTATTTAAAGGTAATGTATTTGTTATATTGCTAAGATTTTGTATAAGACATAAGCTATTTTCATTATAACTATTTTTCTTTGGAAAAGCAATTGTCTTAAATCAGGATTTGGCTGCCTTTTGCTATTAGGCAGAATCCAGTCCAGTGAGCAGTGCCAAAAGAACTGTAGCTCAATTTTGCAGCTGTATCCTGACTCCATTGCAGAGCTCAGCTGCAGCCTATTTCTACCTAAATGTATCATTTGAATGGAGGTCCAGAAGCGCAGCTGATCCTAGAGACATCTTTTGTCAGCAGCAACAACCCACTTCTGTATTTATAAACATTATTCTCTGTAGATGCCCAGGCTGTCCCACTCCCAAACTCAATGGTCCTGCTATTACAGTTCATGAGTTTTCTCCCTTAGACTGAGCTCCGGAAAGGTAAGGGCTTTGCCTAAGTCATCTCTTTAACCTCTAGAGCATTACAGATGTTCAATAAATATTTTATAAAACTACAGTCACTGAATCAGTGTGGCAGATGGGTGTTCACTCTTCATAAAATCCTAATTTTGCCATTTCCTCCTGGTATTTTTCATTTCTAGCAGATAACACAGGAAAGGCATTTTCTTCCCCACCTTCCTTCATCCTCTGCAGCACTAAATTTATTGGGGATTTTTTTTGCTTGTTCTGCTTTCTGTTTTGTTTATAATACAAATAGTTGTTTCTAGACTCACAGGGGAAATGTATACTATAGAGGAGTGGCAGGCATAATGTGGTTATGGTCTGAAAGGCCTTAAGTCAGAGGTTAAATCCTCCAAAACTCTAGGGAGAACAATACAATCAAGAAAGAGTATTTACTGTTCATGCCTGGACTTCATTTCCAGCAGATTCCAAAGCTGACCCAAACCTGTTCCAGCCTCATCCTTAGGCAAGCCAGAGGAATGTTCATATTGGGTCCCAAAAGTCTCTCGAATATTTCCCCTTTCATGAGGCAATAATTCCTGTTTTACCTGGAAAACCTCAGGTGTTTCCCCACCGACACCCCTGGAGTCATCCCCTCCATCGTTCCTCTAATCCTTGTCCCCATTCCCTCAGGTATGTCAACTTGTACCCCATGTAAACAAACCCCTCTCCTGCCCCGCCCCCTTTTTTCCTGTATGAATTTTAAGATAATTTTATGAGTAATAAAACTAATAGAAGTAAGGTTTTTCTACTTTGGTTCCCCAACCCCAAGACTCAATCTTCAAATCCTTTGACACCAATAGTTGGAGACATTTTCAGGTTGTCCTCATACCAGTATATGGTTATCCCCCAGATGTGAGCCCTTTGTATGTGCTTCAACATCTGTGATCTGCGTAGTCTGCCATGTAACTGGAGACTTCCAGATGTCCCAGAATGCCCTCCAGGAATTGGTTCTTGAGGCTCTAGATACTTTTCCTCATGCTGTAAGCCCCAGGGAGTTTCCTGGAATTAGTAGTTTGAAGTTTCTTCCAGCTGCAGTAAGCTTTAAAGTTTAGGTGGGGGTGGGAGGTGGGCTGGGTGTGAGGGAGAAAGGACTTAAACCCATGCTGAAGTTTTCTTGGAGCTTGAAAGTGGACAGTTGAGGAATATAAAAATACCTGAGGTTTCTGACCCTTCAATAAATACCATTTTGGGGGGTTATTTTTCTTCTGTTTAAGAGGTAGCCCCAGGAGGCCCTGATACCAGTGGACACTGTTTTCTGTAATTTCCTACAGTTCCTCTTTTGTAAATTTCTATGGCTATCCTTAGAAAAATCCTCAGATGAGGTGTAGACAATATGTCATGCCTCAGGATACTTCTACATGTGTTTCTGGCCCTTTGCTTAAGCCCTGAAATATACAGAATGGGGGGAGTACACATTTAAATGGTAAATGCAAGGTTTTTATTACAGTGGCTGGTTGCAAGCTTGAGCACCATAGCAGGTGCTTGAGCCCTCTGCTCTCTGTGGCATGAAGATTAAAGCCCTTGCTCTCTAACCCAGGAGAAGTCTGAGCTATAGGACTTTTGCTCCCCAGCTGACTAAAAAGAATAGTTGCAGTGACCTAGGAATGGAAATCAAGCCCAGAAAAGAGTGACTTCCTTTGACAGTAAGTATTTGCTTGGTGAGAAAGATAACTATTCTAGACATAAAAGGGGCAAGAAAATCAGTGCCTTCATTTAACTCCATTCAACTAAGATTCTAAGCATCTGTCAGGCACTGTACTATGAATTGAATTTATAAGAGAAATATGATATGGCCTAATCTTCTTGGTGGACCTTAAATTCTACCCTAGGAGACAACCTTGCAAGTGATAATTATGTGACAATGTGATATATGCTCTAATATCTGCATGTACCAGATGCTAGGGAACCCAGGGAAGAGAAGAGATTTTTTTCTCTCTGGAGGGGTCAAAGGTCAAAGGAAGTTGCCTTATGACTTGGTTCTTCAAGGCTAAGTAGGAATTTTCTGGCAGGGCATTTTAGATAGACTTTGGAAAACGAGAGTGAGAAGAGGTGTGGACCCTGACTGTTCCCAGAAGGCTCAGAAGACCCTGATTTAGCAAAGGTAGCAAAATGGGCAGGCTGGAAAAAGAGTAGGAAGAAGAAATGAAACAAAAGGCTGGAAAGCAGTGCAGGTGGCAATGTTAGGGTCTTGCATGCCATGTTGAACATTAGAGGATTTTTCCTGGCATGGACAAGGAGCTACTGGCAGGCTGCAGCAGGAGAATGGCAAGAACAGATAGGTTATTTAGAAAAAAAATACCAAAGTGGAGGATAAATTGGAGGGGATCTGCCTGAGGCTGGGAGACCTATTAGGAGACCACAGCAATTATATAAATGAAAAAGAGCCTTAATAGGGCAAAATCAGGGAGAATCAAGTTACAGTGATAAAGTGGCCAAAAAATATGGACTCGTGTCACAAATCTGATCGTATCAAATTATTCATCTTAAAATTCTCTCTTGATTCTCCAGGATCCATGGCATAAA